GTGATGAGGTGGATATAATAAACACAAAATGTTGATGGAATATATGTTAGTATATACTCACGGTTTCCACCCTTATAAGGGGGCCAATCATCAGGGGGTGATAGGCTGGGAAATTGTGACTACTGCATTTTTGTTTTTGTGGTGTCTAATCTGTATATTTTTATTGAATTTTTTTTCTTTTTCAGTGTTTAGCTTGCAAATCTTTTTTTTATAAACAAATCGTCTGGCCACTTTCATAAATTCAAATTATAGAATCCTAAATAAAAGGTCGTCCTCTCCAAACTTATACATGGATTACGATAAATGTAAGATGGACAGAACACTCATTTCAAAAACAAAATCTGTTCAGAATAAATATTTAGAATTAATTGAAGATAAAAACAAGGGGTGCCAGAGGCTTCACAATACTGGACTAGACTGATTAAGAGTTAAAGGATTGAATAATTCTGATAATTGTTTATAATCTTGAATAGAAACATGTATTTTCTGACAGGGTTTTCCTTCAGAGAAGAAAAATTATAATTTGCATATAGTATGTTATTTTCATCTAAAGTTAGAACTAATTGGTTTCTTTCTTTTCAATCCAAAACCATCATGCATGTTTTATTTTTTGTTCAGATGCATTATATACTCTACATATTCTTTTTGGCAAATTTTTCGTCGTCGCTGAATGTTTGTCCCCCAGGCGTCTTATCCTATCTTATCGCTGGACTGAATTTATCTTTTAACAATACTTTACAGATGTTTGCGGGCAAACTGGTTGTTTTTGGCCTCAAAGCTTTTTTGCTCAGAAACTCAAAGTATAAACACAATTATAAACACAAAAATTTTACAAATTCTTTATTGGAACTGTATAAGCATCTTCAGCTTCCATAAAATTGATATTGACGTGATTCCAAATTCGTCGATTTGCTGCACACTTCTATCACTTTATAGTTTAATAGCCTTACAGGTTAGCAATGTTTAGTATGCATTTCAAATTGAAATGCCGATATCAATATCTGAGGCAGTGTGTGAAATCAGATTGATGTCATGCATGCAGATTGTTCAAAGCTAGCCATGTACAAGTAGCTATAGTTTTGTGGATGATTTGACATCGACAACTGATTTACAGCTTTTTTTTTTGAGGGGGCTCTTTTGCTTTATTGGCTGTATATTTTTTTTTTTTTTTTTTTTTTTAAATATTTTTTGTGCCAGGCGACAGTTCCGGACATTGGATATCACTGTTGTCTCTCCTGACTTTTTTTTGTATGTGCAAATTGCAAGTGCTAGTGACGACGCATAGTGCATTTTGCCACAGAAGTCATATTCATGTTTGGGACTACATGACAGGGCTGTGTGGCCATCTCTCTGTCAAATATGGCAATTTGTAATGCGCTATTCTGGCGTCAACCAGGCCCGATCGAACACAAGCACCTGCGGACCTTAACCAAGGTTCCCCCAAAGTCGCATTCGTTAGTGAATGAATCTCGGCTAGTGGAATTAGCCTTCCCATTGAGTCTGTGGCACACTCACCCAGGGTGGGGGTCGACCCTTTGATGTTCAACCTAAGGTAGGATTTGAACGTGGGTCTACTGATCACGAGTCTGATGCGACAACCACTGTGCTACCAGTCACCGGTATTGGCTGTATTTTGTATATGCCAGTCAGATTCCTATAAGTAAGTAAACACATCCAGGATATAGCTGACATGTGACTTCTGAGAATCAAAGGAACCGGAAATCCTGGACGTGGAGTCAACATATGGCTTTGATTTTCTTTTATGTTGATTTGAAAACAAGCTTAACATTAACATTTTCTGTCTCAGAACAATCATGCAAAATTACACGGATCCTGAAAGCTGCACATTACAAAGTGTCTCGTTCATAACTACAGTGTAAAATAATTCATAATAATAATGTAATATTAATTACCATTGGGAATTGAGTTAATTTTCACCCCAATACAATTTGCAATACAACATGGTGACTATATCTCAAGTCAAAAAACCAGCTGTAATATAGAGGCTATTCTGCTGAAATTAAAAACCCTCAGATACTTTTTTTTTATATGACTAGGGGAGCTGTTAATGATTTTTTTTATATGACTAGGGGGCTGTTAATGATTTTTTTTATATGACTAGGGGAGCTGTTAATGACTGGTGACTGCAGAGGTTGTCACTCAGAGGCTGTTTATAAGTTTGAGACAGCTGCTTTATGACTTTGTACCTTTGTTTGTTTTCCCTTTCTCTACTCCATATGTTCCAGTAAGCAGCAGGTGTTTTAAAGTTTTTGCGAATTTTGTTTTTGCAACTCATGTTCTTACGTACAATGTGTATGTAAAGTTTGATCCGTTCATGAGAGGCATAAATAGAATTTGAGCATGAAAAAAAAAGACCCAATATGTCTAATGAAGATACCAAGTTTAAAATAAAATCATTTATTCACAACTGAGATTAGGTTCCGAAATGAAGTAAACGCTTGATTTTGATGTTAATTATTAACACTGGATGCAAATGTATTTCAGAAAGTGTAACATTTGTATGAATTAACCAATCATGACAGGCAAGAGTTATGGCGCTGGAAAACAATTGGAAACTAACAATTACGCAGTAGTATGCAAATTATAAAACATTATGCAAATTTGAGAAAGAACAACAAAACTAAGATTATCTGCATAGTATTGTTATACATGTATGTACATGTACTTCTGGTGTATTGCGCAAGGTTATTATGAAAATATCGTATGGATCTCCAATTAGCGAATGCCCATGCAGTCCCATACTGCCTGATTGTATTCTTTGCAGTATTCTCTTGATAACCTTCTTATTATACACGTTTTACCTGCTTGTTAAAATAATTTAATGAGAGATGACATCCCAAAAATGTTTTTTTGCTCTATGAACATTTGCATTCAGTGATGGAACTTTATTTCTGCCACAAATGTTTTTTGTTTATTTTTTGTTTTTTAATTGAGTGTCACTGTTGTCTCTCCTGACTTTTTTTTTTTCGTTTGTACAAATTACAAGTGCTGACACATAGTGCATTTTGCCACAGAAGTCATATTCGTGTTTGAGACTACGTGACAGGGCTGTGTGGTCATCTCTCTGTCAAATGGCAATTTTAATGCGCTATCCTGGCGTCAACCAGGCTCGGTTGAACACAAGCACCTGCGGACCTTAACCATTGTTCCCCAAAAATCGCATTCGCTAGAAAATGAATCTTGGCCAGCAGAATTGGCCTTCCCATTGAGTCTGTGTCACACTCACCCAGGGTAGGGGTTGACCATTTGATGTTCAGCCTAAGGTAGGATTTGAACTTGGGTCGACCGATCATGAGTCTGTATGTTTTTGTGTTTGATGGGGCCATAAACGTGATGAACATTTCCCAAATAAGGAAGACAATCAAACACATCCTAACACTCGTTAACACATTTGTGTGGCTTTATTACAGAGAGATGAATTCTGATACAATGTGCAGTAATTTGCAGTACTGCAAGGGGTATGTGCATCCTACCTTATTAGGAAAATATGGAACATTTCCAACATGGCAAATGTTCTTCAAAAAAAAAGCGAGAAATTACAAATAATTTTCACTGTTAAATAACTCAGTTTTGGGTATCCTACACCAAGTGACTAGATTAGGAATCAAAGATGTATAATACTACACCTATGCATGCTTTTTTTGGATACACAAATCTGTATTTCTACCTTGGCTGGGATTAATATTATGAAACTGTTTCACTCGCAAGACATGTAATTCTCTCTTTCCACAGCTAATTATGATGCAAGATGGCTGGCTCTAAACCTCAAATTAGTGCCCCAAAGTACATTCGAGTTGGAGAAACTGTTGAAGTGTCAGTACGAGGCAGTGGAAATTCATCAACTTTTCCATCATTTATATCAACACTGGAAAAACCAGATGGAACTACAGATGTCTTGGAACAAACAAGCAACACAGAGGACAATACAATCATTCTGAAAAGCCAGCTGGAGGGTGAACACAAAATTTCAGTTTCTGTGAATGGCGAGCACATAGAAGGGTCACCCTGTGATGTGGTTGTGTATCCGGCATGGACGATGACCAAAACATTTAGTGAGTTCGGAAAAGGTATTGGCGAGCTGTGGGATCCATGGGGAGTCATCGTAAACAAAGACGGTAACTACATGGTTGCCGATAGTAACAACAATAGAATTGAAATTTTCACCCCTAATGGTGATCATGTGATGGACATAAAATTCCCAGAACTTGATAAAAAATTTTTACCCGCGCCAGGTTGCGATATCATCAGACAATTGCTATTTTATCCCAGACGGATCAAGATGGGTGGACGTGGGAAACAATCATGTCGTTATATGCGATAAAAATGGGAAATTTTTGGGACGTTTCGGACAAAACCAGCTGTTAAACCCAGTTGGGATAGCCATTGATGATGCTCAAGGAATTGTTTATGTTGTTGACCATTGCGGATACTGCGTAAGACTTTACAACATACACAATGGTGACTATATTAAGTCGTTTGGTAGTAGAGGTAATAATCCAGGCCAATTCAATGATCCTCGGTACATCACCATCAATAATGAAAGACAGGTGCTTGTAACCGACTGCAACAATCACCGTGTGCAGGTATTTCGTACAACTGGCGAGTTTCTTTTCATGTTTGGTTGCCTTGGTGATGAAAATGAACAGTTAAATTTGCCTGAGGGTATAGTGACAGATGAGGACGATAACATCTATGTGTGTGACTGCAGCAATAACAGAGTCATGAAATACGACAAACGAGGAAAATTTATATGCTGTATTGCAAGCATAAAAGATGAGTTAGTTCAACCAACGGGAATCGCGATTACAAAAGACGTTCCACTGAAAATTGTCGTCGTAGATTATGGAAATGACTGCATCAGGATATTTGGCTAAAGTGGTCGTAAAGATATAACTAAATGTGGGAAACGGGAATTATATCAATAAATGAGAACATAGATTTATTAGACAATGTTATTCAATGAATTTAAATTTATGCAAATTATGGCATGACTCAGAATTATAACACAAATAAACATTTATGGAAATACTGATGCAAATCAGTGAGAACTCAATTAATAAGTGTTCATCTCAGGCTGTTTTTACTATTAAATAATAGTGTCTTTACTTATTTTTCAAGCATTGTGTTTCACATGTTATTTTAGATGACACGTACCCCCGCTCATAATTTTGGCTTACCAAACATGGACCTTTTTAATACATGTGGATTCAGTGATTCCATTAAATTAAAAAATATATGTATGTAGGCCTACCCATTTTGGGTCAAAAAAGCATTTCATAAATAAATTGTTCAGCCATGTTCTTCTCTTGTTTAGAAATATGGTATTGTCATGGCAATGATCATCATTGTGTCAGATGTTCTATTTATGTTGATTTGTGAAAAAGCATGGATTTTCAGAGTTGCATTATTAACATACAAACACACGTACATCAATGTTTTTGCCTTGTCTAATTTAACAGCTTCGATCCTTAACTTCACTTCTGTTTCCTCCAATTGTCAACTTTGACCCTAACCCTCTAACCATTGTCAAATTTGACTTAAAATCATTTCCCATTATCAATTTTGACCTTTAACCCTTCCAGTCCAATTGTCAACTTTGACCCTCAATAATCTCACTATCAGCTTTGATGCTTACTCCACTCACTTTAGTTGTAAACTTTGACGTTTAAACATCACTCTTCTGCTCAACTTTAACCCTCTCATTGTCAAAATTGACTCTTAACCCATTCACTTCATTTGTTAACTTTGATCATCCTATTGTTACATTTGAACTTCACTCCCTAATAGTCAACTTTGACCCTTGACTTTCCCACTCCTGTCGAATTTGGCCCTTAACCCTCACTCCTATTATCTTAATTTTGTATATAACCAATAAACATAAAAATTAGCCCCCATGTTATATATAAACTGAACTGATATTTTGGGACACAAATATTGAATTCCTTCAATATCCTTTGGGTTCCAAGATTGAATGTTACTTTATCTTCATATCAACCAAAAATCTATTAAAAATGAATACATACCAGATAATAGCTCCAAATATTCCTAACTCACTGACCATATCAATGAGTTCTGTAGTTGTCCAGCAACGTATTTGATAATTAGATACGATAGCTGGTTGTATACGATCCATTAGGATATACTCTGCTCTACGTTCATCTTCACCAATGTCTTTCAGGGTAGAAGTAATATCTTTCCCAAATATGTTGTTGCCTGAAACAAAGTCAATCAAATAATTGAAGGATGAACCACTGAGTTAAGAGGATTAAAAATGCACTTGGGAAAGTTTACTTTTGGTGTTATAATGTGTTAAAATCCTCTTCTTTGTCTTACCAATAAACATTCAGATAAAACATTCAGATAAAACATGGTAAAACCAGATCAAAGTAATTCGATGAGTCTTGCAGTCATTAAAAGGGGTGTGTACATTGCAAGAAAATGTTTTATTTCATACCATTTAACAAATTTAACAGTGACCGACAAGCATCTGCAGTTCACCCCACGTGACAGGTGACCTTTCAAACACTGGAAATAAATCAGATTGACAGAATTTTGTTGACAATCGGGAAGTTACAGTACTTTCTTAGTGGTTTTTGAAATTTTTGCTTTAATTATTTATGCGACAAACAATTTTAATATAATATTCGAATTTTTATTATTCCTGTTTTTTACCGTGGTCGACGTTAGTGATACCACAAGATAGCGGTAATGAGCTCCACTACATGCGATGCTACTTTTGTTAGGGGAAAATGTCACATGCCCACGTGATGAACTGTATGTGCTGAACCACTTTGAGAACTGTCGAACGCACTTTGTAAACAGACTTGGGGATCATCCAGCAACGCAATTACGATCTTAAGCGTAAATAAAAGTAAACAGCAATGTTTATTGGTAACAGCAAATATAGCACAATGTCAACAAATCGTGCTCATTTTCATCAGGATATTTATCTATGTGCATGTTTTTGCAAAGAATTACCAATTAATTATGCAAATTAGCTGCTTAAAATGCACAAATTGATTCATCATGAAATTACACAAACAGTACATGTGCCCTAAACTTCAATTCACTTGAGCAAACTATAATGTTATAAACAAGCTGAAAACAGTTAATTACTAAGCTGATTAGTTTATTGACAAAAAAAATATACATATACTTGGTTTCAATCCACTTGTCAAAAGTTACAATACAAACAAAACGTTATAAAAACAGTTAATTAATATGTAAATTAGCTGATTAAAGTGAACAGATAATGAGAAATTACCATCAGACAATCAATTATTCAAGCATCAACCCATTGGAGCAAATTGAAAAAATTAAAACCATTTATTATTATGTAAGTCATGCATGGATCTACACAGACAACTATCATGTGCCAAATTTCATATATGTATTGAATTTTATTACGAATGGATGGAACCCAAAACACTAGTCCCTGCTTCAGACTTAATACTTAGCCCCAATAAACTAAAAACAGAAATTATTCACCTCAAGAGATGTAAGACATGACCAGTGAATTTGCATAATGATGATAGTTTCTTGTATTCTTACCTCCTCCTTCTCTCTGTGGCTTTAAAACATATTTGTCTGGATCTGTTAAAGCCATCTTGACAGTTGCATCGCCTTCACTGCCCTGCAAATATCAAAAAAACTATGCTACTGATATCTCTGTTCCCAGCTTTGATTTTGTTTTTTACATTTACTAACGAAAATTAGAATTGTAAATGCTCGTAAATTGTTTAATTGATTTAATTGCGCAATGTCAGGGTTTGAAGAGCTTCCCTTTCAAAACTGACCACAAGGCAAAAAAAACAAAACAATAAATGTACTTCAATGTCAGTGCAGGCCGATAAAGTAAAAGATATGAAATACGTAACTATTCATTGTATTGGATTGGATTGTAACATTTTTTTTATACTGGTTAGTCACATTAGCCAAAGCTGATTTCCAAGGGGGAACCAGACTCAAAGTGATACAAAAATACAAATTTATATAAAGTACTGTAAAATGACTAATTTTCAGTTCACTGGGTTTAAATTTCACTGATTTAACATTTCAGGCATATTCAGTGGGTTTTAAATTCACGGTTTTACCAATTAGATAATGTGTTCTATGCCAAATTTTACATATTCACTGGGTTTTAATTTAGCGCATTTTCCAGTCAGCGAAATAAGCGAAATTAAAACCCAGTGAATAATTAACCCCTTTACAGTACAAAGCAAACATAAAAACAGATTTCAAAAATTACAAATTGTTATTATACAGTGCATAATAATTCTCATGGCAGTAGATTAATATACTGCATGATTCCAGCCAAAAGCTTAGAATCATAGATCAGAGACAGTGAAATTAAACTATAAGTTGTCTCACCATATCAAGGGTATAAAGTCCTGCAAACGTTTCTCGAATTCTCTTCACAGCAGCTTCTCCATCTGAGAAATATTTCTGGAATCTTTCTACAGCGCCAACTCTGGATAATTCTTGTTGTACTTTTTTAGTACCTGCTAAGTGATAACTGATTGATGGACATTTTATTGCCCGAGATTTTTCAACCATGAGACGTGCTTCCCATTCCTAGAATGACAAAAAACAGTGTGTACTATATTGTTAAAAGATTGACTGAAATGATTTCATTTTACCAAATATTTTGTTCATCATGGAAATTATGGATTTATTGGAGCGTGTTTTCAGTACAAAAAATGGCCACCAGTTGGTCATCTTAAATTCATATGAATTATGTATTCTAGGATGGATAATTATAGTGTTCAAATCTTTGTTTTTTTATGCCAATGTAATTTGTGTTTTAGTAAGAAAGAAATAGATATAAACACATTACGTAAAGTGCCTTAAAAAATGACGGAGTTGAAACCCTCCTTGAAGGGGATATCAGCACTGGCATAACTACTACATAGTTATGCCAACATAAAACGGCTAACATATGACAGAGACAACATTGATGACTATTTGCAAAAGTTACTGGCAATGCCTGTCGAATTTTTAAAGGCAGTTATAATGAACTTTACATATTATTAAACTCAAAATGTGCATATACGGTGCGCCAACATAGAGCTGACAGAGGAATAGCTCAATGTTTCAATAAAGGTACAGAAATGTATCATCAACAGAAAAATTGCCCATCCATGAGTCAGTGTCACTGTATTTATGTCTCTTGTAATAATTGCCGGTGTGAACGCAAGATTACAGGAATCTCATCAATTAAACTACCAGACACAACTATTCTAGTGAGAACATGTTACTGGTTTATGTATATATATGTGCATTTTTTGAAAATAATCCGTTCAGGCATATCGGAGATATAGATGTGTAGTTTCCATGGCAACATTTACAAGGGAAGCTGATCAGAACGATGCAGTTTTCATGTAGTACACTGGAAAGAAACTTGTACTCACCTTCTCAGAAACATACTGGTTTGGCATGTAACCATACCTGAAGTAAACTATTGCAATTTCATATCCATCTCTGTAATATAATAATAACATACTTATTTCTGGAAATTGACATCATTAAAATATTATTATGAAACTATTTTTCCAAAATAATCAAGGTATATCATGTATTATTATACATCTGTCACCATAATGCCATAAGTTACAGCGTGTCGTAATTTTGTGGTATTGCACTAGGTATTTTCATGCTACCATATTAGGAAATGTGAGTTCCAAATATGGAATGATTAGGTGCATAAGTGTCCTCTAATAATAAAAATAAACATGGCTAAGGGTTTGACCGGACTCCACACAAAGAAGTTCGCTAAATCTGTTCTAAACTTCTTGGATTTCGGCATTCCAATGATATATCATTGGAAGGAAAAAATGTATAATAATAAGGTTATTACTTGTATACCGCATCGGTTGATTACTCCCACTGTACTGTCTTAGTGCATACTTTGCAGTATCCTCGTAATGAACTCATATGAATGAGATAATATGAAGTTATCTTACAATGTTCATAAAGTCAATACAGTGATCATAACACCTGATTCAATAGCAAACTGAGTATTTTTTTAGATACTAGTACAAGATACATCATTTTCTGCTCGTGTAATAGTTATATTCCAGTAAAGCATAACGGCCCAAAAAACATTTTTCGAAAGTATTTGCACAATAATCCACTTTCAATGACGCAATTCCTCCAAATGTTACTTGTTGTAGCACCCAATGAAAACAGATCATAGTGGAACACAACATTCTGGCATTTTTAATGCAAGATGCATAATAATGAGGTAGGTCAGAGGTCTTGAAAACAACTCACATAACTAACTTGTCACCCTCAGTTTTAGCTCTGTTTATGACATCAGAGAATTTTCTTCTCATTGTGTGGATAGTTGGATTAATTTTGTGGATTTCATATTCCAGCCATCTTTGATCAAAGATGTTTTGTGACACATCTTCAATAAGAAATAAAATTGCAGCTCTAAAAAAAAAAATTTGGGATGATTTTAATCATGTGTTAATGAATATTGGCGTAATAAAAAATAGTTTGGGAGATGCGAGTATTATTTATTATATCGCTATTAAACTAGGAAAAATGAACTTTTTGCTCTGCATTCCATTCACATTGATATCAATCACATTTTAATACAGAGTTGAATTGTTAAATATCATGTACATATTGGTAGCTATTATTTGTTGATAGAATGCAAGCTATAATATATATTGTACCCCCTCGAAATTCAACATAACGATGTCGTATATTTCAACTTACCTATCACATTTATAAAGTTTCCAAGCCTCAACCAAACCTTGTGCCAAACCAGACAATGCACGATTCTCTGACAAACTGGCAGCTTTTTTTGATTCACAAAGATTTCTTAAGTTGTACCTAAATATAAATTTGTAATCCATTAAGTCAATGAGAAATTATTCTCCACAGAAATAGTGTCATTTTAAATATACTACCTACACACTATTTAATTATTAAATTTCAAATCTGAATTACAATATCCAATTCCTCATCAATATTATCTGTGTCTTTGACCATTTTAAATCATACGAGTCCCTGAGATGAGATTAAAGTTATACCAAGGAATTGTAAGCTGAGTCTATACAAGGCTCTGACATGTGATGAAAATCTCATGCAACTTGAATAAGCGACATGAACTACGACAAGATGAAAAAATTGCAAGAGAAACCAACATTTCGAGAAATCCTGATGAAACTAGTGTGTCTGTGAAAGAACTGGTTCAGGTTTATTTCATATCATTTTTGGTGGTTTGAATTCCTTCCTTGTTGTAAAGTATGTAATACACGCATTTGCATTTTTACATGCAGTGGATAATCTTGCTTAATTCTGTTCTACGTTCTCAAACATTTCCAAGCACCCACTGTGTTCGGTAATGCGTACAATGGACGTGAATTAAAATAGAAGAGTTTTTTAAATGTTTTCAAATCAAATCGATTCCTGTGAGATTTTCATTGGATCTTATCATAAATGGTTCTGAATGTTGCATAATGCAAGAGAATATAATTTTGATATACAGTATTAAAGTAAAAACAATAAAAGCAATGTATACATATTTATTGGAACTAATTTACAGAAAAACTCAGTTTTCACCTCACAAAATTGTACAATTTTAAAAGTGTGAAGGCATATACATGTATGTATCTATTGACACCATTGTTTAATGTTGTATTGTTTCCAGACTAGAAGTCATCGAATAAATGATGCTGATGCAACAACAATTCTGATGATAATCAAGATAAACTCACAACGACCTCAAATAGTTGCCATAGAAATGTCCCAATGGGTCTCACCTGTGGAGATCTGATACTTGCGATCCTAGTCCAGCGAAGCTACTTGCAATGGTGTTAATTTCTATTTGTCTTAACTTCATTTCGTCAGCGGGTGTCTCCTTTCCCCTGGCTGCATCAAACATGTAGTCTGCCCTCAAGAGGGCTAACTGTATCGGCTGCAAATGGATGCAACAAAAACATTGGGGTACAATTTTTGCATAATTACTGGTAATGTGTAATTTATTTTGAATGCAGTTATAAAAGTTCATACTGAATGAAAATAAATGCCATGTTCTTCACTACAGTACTTACATAAATATAGACCTAAGGCAGTCAAATATAGAACTACACATTCAGATATATACCCATGTATTCAGATATACACCCATGTATGCAGATAAATACCCATGTATTCAGATATAAACCTAGCAATTTAAATATAGACCTCATTCACGTTTTAAGAAATGAGAAGCCAAAAGTAATAAACAAAATCAATATTATTTAATCCTATTGTGTTTTATTCCATGCAAGATTATAGTCTCATTCAGGTTATTTGCTGTTGTCAACAAAGATGTCACCTGATGTATGTGTTTCTGCCAATCTATTGATGTGTAATATTTTGCCCATTTTTATGCATTTTTCATTAATTTCTTAATAATTTTCTTAATATGAGACTAAATGACTATAAATTTCGACTGTGGAAAGCTCTTAATCAACATTTTCTTTCAAAAAATATGCAAAAAAAGTTGTTTATTTTGTGACAAAAGTTGACTTTGGCGTTTGTGAATGTCTCCCTCTAGTGGTGAGCATAGTGTAACAAAGGTTCAGCAAGAGGTCATAAGAGGTCGTTCATATATAGCCAAGTAAATGTGATATTGTTTGTTTTACCTGAGCTGGCGTTCCATTGACATAAACTTCTTCATAGATTTCATACAACTTTCGGGTAAATTCATCAACTTGGATTGCACTACAGAAAATATACACTATGCTGGCATGATATATTCATCACAAGTCTGTATTTGATAAATATTAACATGAACACTACACATACAATCTGCTGAACAAAATAATTTGAAATCTTTAGCTTTCATTGACATAACCAAATATTATCTCCATGCATACCATACTAAAATATAAACACGAATTAAACCTACATATTTTTTTCCATATTTTTTTTAAATAAAATTTTTGCCCATAGCAAATATAAAATTATTTTCATTCGAATCAGAATTGTGCAGAAAATTATGAAAAAAAATACATAAAAATATATTGTACCAACATTTTGGCCGAGAAAAAATTTGGTTTTCAAAATGTCAGGTAAGCATATTTGTGTGTCCGTTTTTCAGTTATAAAATCAAGTAAATATATTTGTTGTTCAAGTCGTGTCATGTTGTCTTTAAATCAAAATAAGTTTATGTCTCTGAGTTCTACTAAATATGAGGAATAACAGGCCATAATTCGAACACCAAAGAACAAGAAAATCAAAATCCGTACAGGATTCCCAAGCTACGCAAACTAAAAGATGAGTTTTAGCTTAGAACAGTGCTGGCAAATTGGCATAGAGATTGTAAGGTGCCTTGATGACTGTGCATTTGTAAATACGAAACACAAATACAAAGCACGGAGAAATGCATCAACAAATCATGTATGAACTTCACCTTTTCAATGATGAAGTAATAAAATCGCTGTCATGAGTGACTCCATGGAGCAACAAATTAAAATCTTTCTGTACATCAACAGCTTGTTGAAATAAACGCTTTGGTACGGGAGACGGAAGTAACACATGGGGCGCATAGCATATAACTTCGGATGAGTTGGGATCCTGTCTTGTTCTCATAATAATACCATGTAAGAATGCATAGTCCTTATCTTTGGCAACCACATCATCTAGTAAATCCTGCTCTAGAGGTAACGATACACTTGTTTCCATGGTGATAAATTTATCCTATTTACAAAATTCAGAGTAGTTCATGTGTACCTATATAAAGAAGAAATTTTATTTAAATTTGAATCACTTATGTCAAGTTACTGTAAAATACTTTATTTTCACTTGGAATTAGTTTTCCCTAATTTCACTAATGGAATGATTCAGTGAAAATAAAATCCAGCGAATATACCTTTTTTCCTAGATTTTACATTCAACTCATCAAAAATCAGTGAAAATAAATGCCCAAATCGTCTTTTCAGCGAGAATTAATTCCAGCTAAAATAAATTATTTTACAGCACATAAATCAGCGAAAGTTTTGAAATGTTGTAGTATTTAAAAACTTACACTGCATGAAAATTCTAATTTCCGTCGTAACCGCTTGCCGGATTAGCAACGTGTTTTGCTGTAAATCCGTTATTTACATTTGGGTAAAAAAACGTTCGAATTTCCCTTGCGTAACCGTCGAAACTGAAACGACGTAAATTTAGAAGTTGTGCGTTTGATATGTCCAGTGTAAACAGCAGAAATTTCCAAATTTGCTGTCATTTTACGCTGAACCTAAAGAACTGATATACTACGTTGCCCGTCAGTTCAAGTGCTGAAAATTAATATCTCTAGTGATGTAGAAAATATCCGGCAGGCAGTAAAAATAACAGACTGCAAACAAAATAATTCTGCCTGTGAAAACAGCTTTCATAGGTGTCAATATTTGATTAACTAATAAAAAATTTTGAGATGAAATTACTTCCACCACAATCACTTGTTAATAAAACCCACTACTGTAAAGTGCTTAATTTTCATTCAGAATATTTATTTTTGCTATTTTCTCTGAAGGGATGATTCAGTGAAAATATACCTATATTTTACATTCAACTCATCAAATCAGTGTAAATAAACTTCATGGAAAACTGCCAATGTGTATTTTCATTTAAAATTAATTTCAACTAATAAGTACTTTACTGTACTGTGTTTGTGACCCACTTCATACAAATTTGATAAGACTTTTTAGAATGTAACGCTAATGATATGCAAATCTCTCAGCACTGGACAGTGGACATGAT